TGTGTGTGTGTGTGTGTGTGTGTGTGTGTGTGTGTGTGTGTGTGTGTGTGTGTGTGTGTGTGTGTGTGTGTGTGTGTGTGTGTGTGTGTGTGTGTGTGTGTGTGTGTGTGTGTGTGTGTGTGTGTGTGTGTGTGTGTGTGTGTGTGTGTGTGTGTGTGATTAACGGTTTATTGAAGAAGAGCTTGGCAGCCAGAAGGCTGAAAATATACAGTTACATATTTGGGGAATGGGTTACAATTACAAATAATATACAAGTGACATAAGTGACACAAATAAGACATATAGTAACTTAGATGGGGATCAGCTCAAAATACAGTTCATTTCAACATAGTGACAGTGTAGGGAGCAGTGTTTACTGGGAGTGAATACACTGATTTATTACATGTTATTGATAATTTTACAATGGTTGGGACTGGGCTGTTCTTATAGCGATCAGTTCGTGCACGTATGGGCTGGATGCGGTTGTGGTGTCGAACAGCAATTCTCGGACAGGGGATCTCAGGTGGTAGTAGGGGCCGGTGTCGGGGATGGTGTAGAAGCTTCCTACCAAATTTGCAGATGAGGCCGTGGTGATGGTCAGTGAGAGTCGAAAGGGTCAGTGTGTTGAGCGCTTCTTGATATGTGGAGTAGGAAGGGGAGAGAATAATCTTGCATGCCCTCTTTTAAATTTGTTCTAGGTGTTTACGCTAGTGTGTGTGTGTGTATTTTTTTTTCCCCACGTTTATGCGGTACCCTGCCGAAACAGGAATGCTCACATTCCGCGGTGCGTGTACCCCTTTACGCGGAGAGCGGCTGGCGAGCCGCGCCATTTTTGGATCCAAACCTCCTGCCATCTCTCCCGCCATCCGCCATGTTGTGTAAGCGGCTCGAGCATGGTGCGCACAAGGTCGCCCAGTCATCAAAACATTACCGAGTTCTTCACCCACCACAGCCGGCCCAAGTCAGTGATAATTATAGTGAGGATATGGACTTATATGGACTTTGAGGGGTTTGACAAAGAGGCCCTGCAAGCCTCTGTGGTGGATAGTGATACAAGTGATACAGGTGAGGGCCAATAATCTGCCCTCTGCCTCGGAACCAACCCCCCATCCCCGTGTGCCCAGCCATCTTTTCTACTAATGTAAGTGTTAAAAAACCTAATATTATTGATATTTCTCTTCTATATTAATTGTGTGTGCATACCATCATAAAGTTAAGATAATATTTTTACTACAACATAGTTGTGCGTCGTCAAAAAGTGGAGTTTGGGGGTCGGCCCGGTCTCTATTTCAATTAATCCCATATATATATATATATATATATATATATACTATATATATATATATATATATATATATATATATATATATATATATATATATATATATATATATATATACATATATATATATATATATACTATATATATATTATATATATATATATATATATATATATATATATATATATATATATATATATATATATATATATATATATATATATATATATATATATATATATATATATATATATATATATATATATATATATATATATATATATATATATATATATATATATATATATATATATATATATATATATATATATATATATATATATATATATATATATATATATATATATATATATATATATATATATATAATTTTTTCCGGGAATTTGTCTACCAGGGCACAGGTCGAACTACTCACAACGGGGCCTAGGGGGCGATGTGAGAATCTTGTGACAGCTGTTGTAGTTGAGTTCAAGTCATTAATATAATTTTTTCAATACTGTATATGAATATTTGGAAACTTTTCATGGTCATAATGATGAATATTTTATTATTATAAAAATGTTACCTTTGGTTTATTTAATATTTATCCTGACAGTGATACAGCTGAAATTAGATCCACCAATCACCATTACATACAGTCTTACTTTACCAAATACAGCATTGCCAGGTAAAATTGCCAACACGAGCCCCAGGGTGGGTTCAGTGCATCTTTGGTTGACTGTACAATCAAAGACAAATGTCGTGTCGCGGTTTTGTCCCAAGATTAAATATAACTCGTGAAACATTATGAGAGCCCCCTACCACAAGGCAGAGCGCACCAAAAGATTAGCCCTTCGGCATATGCTGTCACCAAATTTCACGACATGACTTTTGTCTTTCATTGTACATAAGTCTGGCATCTTCTCCGGTATTGTCTCCAATTTGTTGATGGTACAGTATTAAGTAACATTTAGTTTGAGCATCTGTGTGTCTTTCAGTAGTATACCTCACGTATATTAACTTGGGGTCAATTTCCCAAACAATTAATTTCACAAATTGTGTCAATAAGCCTCCAAGTTACCTGGAAGAAGGTTGAGTTAGTTTTTTATTGTAGTCAACCTTGGAAATCCAGATCTTAATTAGTTTCATCTTAAAAATTGGCATAATTGAAAAATGCTTAATGAGATTTAGAAAGAGGAAAGATGAAAGCCCTGCTACCCTTGTTTGTGATGTAAGCAGCAGTCAATGGGATTTGTGTGTGGCTCTTGTTTCCTCAGTGGTTTTGTGGACTTGAACCTCAGAAAAATGACCAGGGTCAGTATTTAAAACTCTGTTACATGATTAAGACTTGTTACATTGACTTAAATTCTTTTCTTCAAATTTTCATTGTGTTTATTATAATTGTTTAGTTGCATGATCGAGTGGTGTGTAGGCTGTCTGGTGGGAAATATGTGAAGAAGGCATTTTATGAAAACAAAGTCTGGTGCATTGCAGAAAATTTAACGTTTGCGTTAGAGTAAATGTTTTGTCCACATTCTTTCAGTGTATCATTATCACCATATTTTTCGGTGGTTTAACCCGTACAGCGTCAATGGCGTAACAGCTGCGCTGAGGCGTGTGTCTTTAGCTACCTTAGGTGTGTGAGGGATATTCCACTGAGGCCATACACAGATAGGGGTAACAACATTAAGTCATTTTCTGTAGATTTGAAGCAGTTATTTTTCACCACCCCAGTTTGTCACCCCAATAAAATCACTGGGTCTAACCTGGCCAGTGGCCACCCCAGTAGAAACGTTTGTGGTTCCGCCCTTGGTCCTGATATTCCATGCAGTGATCATAAGAGGTTGTATAGTTTGTTTTTGTTTGAATCTGTGATTTTGACTGCAAAAGGATGAACTTACTGGGTGCGGTTGCCCAATCAGGTTGTTGTTTTTTAAGTTGGGCTATGTTTAGGGCACCTTTTCTAGCCTCCTTCCCATATGGGGTGAGCAAAGTGGCTCCTCGAAAGGGCTACTCAGTCACACAAACAGGAACAGATTACACTGCTGCCTAGATCCCAGTGCATAAACGACCATCTTATCTGTGCTGTCCATGAGCAAATTTGTGACTACAGACTCCCGGCAGTCATCTCTGCCTGTCCCCGTCGCCATAGGAGTTTTGATGATGATAAGGGGTATGATGAGCTGGATGAGAAACAGCCACTGTAATATGTAACTAAGGGATGTGATGACAAGACACTAGCTAAAGCCTATAGAGCACTATGAGAATCGTTAAAAATTTTAAAATTGCTATGAGGTTGAGTAAAAATTATTTTGAGGGCAAGTAAAATACCTAGTAGCTCTGTATTAAAAATAAATGCCACAGTGGGGACACTAGCAGTCCGACAATTCGGGAAAGGTTTTTGGGGGGACTGCATTTACTGAATAGACAAAACGGTGATTTATTAACTCGCCGTTCAGGAATTATTTTTCTTGCATGTAGATATCAGCAGCTGTTGTATAGTATACTGTTCATTTTCTTGCTACAGGAATTATTCTCTGTCCAGCTGCTAACATTAAGTAGGATACTGTGTTAAGACAAAGCCTTTCATTGTTGATTGACAGCCGTATGCATGTGAGACTGAGGTATGAAGGAAAGAAAAAAAAATGACTACTGTACTGTACTGTACTGTACTGTACTGTACTGTACTGTACTGTACTGTAATGTGTAAAAATAATTGAGGTATGAGTTTGTTAACTGTAAGAGAAAATTTTTGTAGTGGAATATGATTGGAAGCATAGAAGTGTTACGGTAGGAGTGGAAAAAGCACAAATAAAGCAGAGGTTTCTCATGCATATTGTGGATTAGTTATAGTATTTATCTTGGTGAATGGAAATATGCTTTTATATACAGGTACAGTAAACCCTCAATAACTGTACATATGGGGCTCTGGCCTTGCTGAGTCATCCCAAATTCCAACTTATCGAAGCACTTCCCCCCTCCTACAAAAATACAACAATAATTTTTTTTTTACCTATTTATGTGTGCATGTAATTACTAAATGTAAAAAAGTAACACTTACCAGCACAGCAGGCAAAGAATGAAGCTATATAGTAAATGACACAGATGCATGGTAGGAGACACATGTATGGTAGGAGACACGGAGGCATGGTAGGAGACACAGAGGCATGGTAGGTGATGCAGGTGGCCAGATATGCCAAGATTTTCCCAGGTAATTTTATATATCCCGGCATTTCCTGAGCTATACTAATGCAGTACATTCCGAGACCATATCCATGCCGAGTTTTATGAAATTACGAGTTATCAAATGCAGAGTTATCGAGGGTTTACTGTACAGTACTTAAAAATGTAGATTTTGGCGAGTGTGATGGCATAAAGAGGGTGTGGAAGCTAACAGAAACCGTATAAATATTTAATACCTGTACAGTACACTACAGAACTTTGAAATAAGAAGAGGGAGTTCAATAAAAAAAATTAATGATATAATGTTTTATAAATAAGGAAACTAGCAAAGATAAGTACAGCAAGCTTTGATGGTTTGGGTGTACTACAAAGAAACGAGTGGTGGGAACAGTTGATTAAGAATGTACAGTACATTATGTGAGATAGATATAGAAAAGGGAAGGGCCAGTTAGTGAAGGAAATGGAAAAAAGAGATTGTCTGGCTGAGAGGCAAAGGAGAATGAAGGAAATTTTGGAAATGTTTTAATTAGAGATTTAACCATTAGTAATTTTTCAGGTGGCAACTGGAGATGATATTGGGGCTCTAACCACTGGTGTAGGAAAAATGAACACAACAGAAGGAGTACCAGCTACAATGACTGCAGGATCAACCATTCCTCCACCCACTGCATTTACAGCTGCTCCTGATTCTCATCCAGCATTTGCAACTGCGACCGCAACTGCTGCTACCACTGCGGCTATTCCAGCAGCATCTGCTGCAGTTCCAAACATTCCTCCTCCTGCAGCTTTTACACCAGCATCAGTTCCTCCTCCTGTTGAACTTCCTGCTAGCTTTACCTCCCCTACTTCTACAGTACCCCCTCAAGTTCCATATACTACTTGTGCTCCCTCATCTGTACAAGTTCCAGTTCAGACTCCAAGTGAAGTGCCAGTTGCAACCTTCAGCCATGCTCCAGCTCAAACTCTGAGCATGCAGGCTCCAATACAAGCTCCTAACTTCTCACCATCACCCAGTCCAAACCTTCCTCCAGTTTGTGTTCCTCAACTCAGCCCACTGACAATGGGTGGTGCTCCAACTGTCCCAGTGATGTCTAGTGGTATACAGATGACTGGGGGCCCAGAAGTTCCTGCTCCTGCAGGCCCTGTTCCACCTCCTGTGCCAGTCTGTCAACCAGTTCCTCTCGTCAGTCAGTACTACTCCTCTCCAGTCATCCCTCCACCAGTTCCTCCTCCCACCTTTACAGGTATTTAAACATCCAGATACTTTTATATTTCAGTACTGAAAATGTAAATACCTATCATATAATTTTTGGAATTGAGTAGTTCATATAATTAACTTTTTTGGGGCTCACGAAATATCAGTTACTGTTGGCAGGTGACGATTCAATATAGGTTACTTGTGCCATAATCCAGATGCTCTTTATCCCTCTTGCTTAGGCAATCATATACTGTACGTACTGTATTTTCATCCTCTTGTTTGTTTTTCTCCAATATTTGACTGTAATCATTATTGTGAGATTTACTGTTACTAGTTTTCACATGAATTTTGTGGTGGTGTATGTGAAAAGGCTCTTTGTCCATGTAAATGGTTCATTTAGTGTATACGTTTAGTTTGTCCAAAATTTTGCTCTTGATACATTTCTTAATGCATCCACTGTACTACTTTTATCCCTTTACTATGTAATATTCAATTCACCATCCATTGTTCCATTTCCTTTTTCCAGTCAAACTTTCATATACAGTAATATCTCGGTTTACGCGGGTTTCGTTTACGCGTTTTGTCATTTACGAGGTACCTTGCCAGAATCGGGATGCCCGATTTACGCGGTGAATATACTCATTTACGCGGGTGAAGTAAAATTTGTTTATTTACTGAAGATATTTGTTTTAGCTAAAAAAATTCATTCAAATTACCCAGCCAGAATATAATATACATTGCTGGAATTCTTATAAGATTGTGATTATTTTAAATATAAGCATCATGAAATTTGCATTAGACATACGAATTTTAGATCTAATGTAAGAATTTTGATTACAAAGAGCCAACATTTTATCTTTTGTGCAAAATATATGACGTTTACATTTAAAATATTCCTGGTCTTGCAAGGAATCCAGCAATGTCAATTATATTATCCTAACTTTAGTCTGAGGTATTATTTATTACTAAACATGTAAGCCTAATGTTTTCACACAAACATTTCTCTGGTAGGAAGGGAAGGTGGAGGGTAGGGAGGGAGGGAGAGTGGGACCCAGCGAGCGTGGGAAGAGGGGGGGGAGTGGAGGTGGGGTATTTTGATTGACAGATAGTGTCTGGGTGAAGTATAATTTGTTTATTTACTGAAGATATTTGTTTTAGCTCATAAAATTCATACAAATTACCCGGCCAGAATATAATTTACATAGCTGGAATTCTTATAAGATTGTGATTACCGTATATACTCGTCTATAACCCCCCCTCGTTTATAGGTCGACCCTGATTTTTTGACCAAGAAATCGTTAATTTATGATATTCCTCGTTTATAGGTCGACCCACGTTTTTTAGGGTAATGGAACAACAAAACCTTCAGTAAAAACGCTCTACGTCCTATAAACTGAGCCTCGCCGTGCCTGAAACACCGAGTGCCGAAGGCAAATTGTTTACCACTTATTACGACACGACACTTTACACTGAAATGCGGGTAGTTTCAACAAAAATATTGTATATTTCCATTCAAGTATTTATTCAAGTCAATTAGGAGGGAATATTATTGTAATACAACAGTTTTTTAACTAAACCATTCAAAAAGCGATTACGGTAACGTCTTTTGAACGAAAGAAAGCGAAAGTCATTGTTTTCGTCACGATTTTATCCCACTTTCCACTGTAATATGTACGTAATTTCAGCAAAAATATTACATTTCCGTGAATGCATTATACCAAGCACAGTATGAATAGAATATCATTGTAATATAACAGAATTTTAACCGAAAACTATTAAAAAAACGAGTAACATCTCAAGAACATCGGAAGCTTAGGTAAAGTCTTTCGTTTCGTCATGTATTTTATCCTATTTTACATTGAAATACGTCACGTTTCAGCAAAACTATTATTTATTTCCGAGAATATATTCATTCAGGCACAGTTAAGGTAAAATATACATGTGATGTAACAGTTTTTTAACTGAAAACGATTCGGAAAACACGTGTACCGTCTAGCTGATACACTCAACAGCTGGTGGTGCGTGATGCGTCATGCGTCGTCGTAAACAATAGGAGGTTGAAGTAGATTGCCGGGTATTATATTAAGTGTGAAATATCAAAAAGGTTTTTATTACCGGTATTTTTTGTAGATCAGTGAGAACTGTGATAACGTATATGATATTATGATAAGTTAGCCTGTGCTAAGAACTTCAACATAGACTGCTGAAAGCACTTTGTAAGGTAATTTAGCCTATTGTAAGTTGATGAGCTTCATTTGCTGAAAGAACTGCACAACTTTTCATTACTAATTGGTACATATTTTACGTTTCCATTGGTAAATATTTTTCATGTCTGAAGCTAAAAGTTGCTCCTCGCCCTTTCCATCATGCACGGGTTCAACCTAACAAAACTATTACGCATGTATAGGACGACCCCCAATTTTTTGCCTAAAAATTTGGTCCTAAAAACTCGAACTATACACGAGTATATACGGTATTTTAAATATAAACATCATGGAATTTGCATTGGACATACAAATTTTAGATCATATGTAAGAATTTTGATTACAAATAGCCAACATTTTATCTTTTGTGCAAAATATATCACGTTTATATTCAAAATATTCCTGGTCTTGCAAGGAATCCAGCAATGTCAATTATATTATCCTAACTTTAGTCTGAGGTATTATTTATTACTATACCTTAAAATCTAGTGTTTTCACCCAAACATTTCTCAGAGAGCGAGGAGCCAGTGAGCGTGGGAAGATGGGGGGGGGGGTGGGAGTTGAGTCCATTATTTGAATGGACATTAACCTGGCGACTATTTCTCTTAAATATTAATTGTGTTTGCATACCATCATAAAATTAAGATGTTATTTTTACTACAACGTAGGTATTGTGTCGGTATTGTCGGAAAAAGTGGAGTTTGGGATTCGGCCTAGTCTCTATTTCAATTAATCCCATATGTTCTGTTATTCCATTTACGCGTTTCTCGTTTTACGCGCTACTCCGCGGGTTCAATTGACCGTGTAAATCGGGGTATTACTGTATTTTTTCTCCTGCCACATTCTCTTTATTTTTATTGTGGCTTTTGGTCAGTGACTCATATATACTGAGTAATTCTCAAATGACCTTGTATTTCTAGGAACTCCAACAATGCCATCTATTCCTGGGATGCCAGTGACGACCCCTATTACCCTACCTGGCATGCCTCCCATCACAGGTGAGCACTAATCTGAGGAAGGTTAGTTATCTGTAGCAGAATCCTGACACATTATATACTGTGGATAAGGTGATCTACAATGTTCATCTCAAGGAACATGATTTTATTTGGCTGCACTTTGAATGCTTCTCCTAACTGACTCACCTACTTAGAGAATCACTCACATTTTAGCCTCACAAAGGGTTGGTCTCGGTGTTTGACCAGACCTGTTCTAAATGCATTGATGGCCAATTTTGGGTAATCCTTATCTATCTAACCTCTGTCCATTGAGTTCCATATATATATATATATATATATATATATATATATATATATATATATATATATATATATATATATATATATATATATATATATATATATATATGTATATGTATATGTATATGTATATATGTATATATATATGTATATGTATATATATATGTATATGTATATGTATATATATATATATGTATATGTATATATATATATGTAATTACATGTATATTAATGCTATATATATGTATATGATTAGATTCTATGATGTTCCTACTGTCAATTGAATTACAAGGTAATATTGAGGAGGCATTATCCCAGTCAATGCAATGCCTGTTATCCCTCAAATGAACAAACAGAGCATTGGATTCCTGGCCTGTCCTAACACTAACATAGAATCTAGTCTCATTGAACATACCGAAGCATTCAACATGAATTTGAGTAATGGCATGTACAAACTGGACAATTTTGTAATTAAGAAGGTTTGTAACCAGGAGAGAAGGTTGGGTCACCTTCCCCTCTGACCTGACTACCGACCGTTGCGGTGCTATTTAAAGATTAGTAGGGTCATTACCTAATACCTGACCATTGTGGACCTGATCTCACCCTCCTCTGTATATATACACCTTGTTTTGTACTTCTCTTAGTCTGTACTCACCCCTGAAGATGTGAATTACACGAAAGCGCTTGGGAACTTCGTGGTTTCTTCTTTCCTTGTGGTTATCAGCATATATATATATATATATATATATATATATATATATATATATATATATATATATATATATATATATATATATATATATATATATATATCCCAACTTAAGACTGCTTTGGACTTACGCCCATCGGGTTCTACAACTCAAGAGGACCTATTTAATCGCCGACATACGTCACGCAGTCGTGATAATTTTTTTTTATTTTTTATTTTTTTTCTCAAATGACGCATGTGATTTTCTATACTAAAATCGCTTCCAGTTAATGTAGTCTCCATGTATAATTAGAAAATTATGGGGTTCTATGCATTCAGCTGACTACATTAAAGGTAAGTGCTCAGTCACACTGTATCTATTCCTCGTTCTTTATTTCTTTTACTGTACTGTATTTCATTGTAGATTTTTTTTTTTTTTTTTATAATCATCTATGTCGAACTTACGATCTGGATTTGGGTCCCTAACCCCGTCATAAGTCGGGGAGGACCTGTACAGTGGTCCCTCGGTTAACGAGCACAATTCATTCCAGAAGGTTGCTCGTTAACCGAAACCATTGTTTCAATGGGTTTTTGGGTAATTGGTTTCAGCTCACCGAAAATTACATACAAACTAAAAATAATGCAGTAAAGTACACTTACTTTGAGGTGTGCATGTAGAAGGCTCCTGGTTGATGATGATGGGAATTAGAATGGGGGTGGAGGAGAAGGGAGAAGAGAAGGCATTGGGGTGGAAGAGAAGTCACCCCATGCTGCCATTGTACCCATAAAATTTTAGTTCACTTGGTGTAATTCAAGATTATTTAATTTAAATCAACACTGCACTGCGCTATATATTATCAATATGTAAAATATATTTCAAAATGACCAATAATTTGACTGGAAACACACAAAAAAAGCATTTATGTTGAAGAGTCTCAAACAAGATTTTCCTTCCTCTGAACTGGTAAACAAACTGACGCCAAGCTTGGTGTGTTGAGTGGCTGTTTGGCGAGCAAAAAACTAGTTTCCTGTACTTCAATTATGTTCAATAATTGTTAAAATTACTAAAAAATTTAATATAAAACTTTGAAAATTATTGAATAGTACAATGTTCTTGATATTTACTAAAATGGTAAGGAATTTAAGCCCTAAAACCGATTACTGTATTGGCGGACTAATACTACAGCTGGTGGGCAGCCAAATGCAGGCGAAAACATGTTGGGAAAAATACGTAAGGAATTCGTTAACCAAGGGTTTGCCCGTTAACCGAAGTAAAGAATCTTTTGGAAGGTAATTCGTTAACCGAGGGATCACTGTATACAGTGGTCCCTCGGTTAACGAATGGTTCGATTATTGAAATTTTGGTTAACGAATTACCTCCCTTAAGGATCTTCAATTCGGTTAACAAACAAAACTTTGATTAAGAAAATCCTTACGACAAACACGTTTTGTTGTGGGCATCAGCTGATGGGCTAGTCCGCCAATACAGTAATCTGTTCTATGTTTACATTCGTTAGCAGTGGAGTAAATATCAAGAAGGTTGTGTTCTTGAATATTTGTGCATTTATTATATTAAAATTATTGGTCATTCTAAAATTTAGCCATCTAAGCTTTGTCTACTTAAAGTTTTTCAACTAATATTTTTGGCTCAATATATGTAACTTTATTAATTTATTGAAACTCATTTACATGCACACACTGTCCTAAGGGCAAAGCTTTACTGTACTGTACATGTAATCAAAATAATGTACAAAATGATTACTACAATTTTTGTCAAGTGTAAACTATAGCATGTTTACATTCAAAGTATTCACTATCTTATAAGAATTCCAGCAATGTAAATTATATTCTCCCCGGTCACTTCTATGACATTTTATAAGCAAAAAACAAAAACTCAATCTAAAGGACATAAATAAACAAATAAATACTTCACTAGACCTTGGCGCCAACTGTCAAACATGTCACTCCCCCCCTCCTCCTCCCCCACTCCCAGTAAGGGTTTGGTGGTTATACAGTAGGTTTTAAGTTTTATCTTACATAATATCACAGACTAAAGTTAGGAGAATATAATTTACATTGTTGGAATCCTTGCAAGACAGTGTGTAAGACAGTGAATAATTTGAATATAAACGTCATATATTTTGCACAAGAGATACAAATTTTAGTACACTAGTTTAGTACATTTTAGTAATGTAAAGTTTTCCAACTGTATTTTTGGGTAGATTTACATAAATTTCTTCATTTATTTTTATTAATTTACATGCACACACCATACTAAAAGAAACGTAAAAGAAATAAATGACCTAAGTGCAAACCTATACTGTACATGTACTAAATGATTATGGTGTCAGAATTGTTATGTCTAATGCAAATTATAGCTTGTTTATACCGTATATCTCGGCTTATAAGACGGAATTTGAACATTAAAAAAATCTGCCCAAAGTTGGGGGGTCGTCTTAATCACCAGGTATAAAATTCTTACTTCTTAAATATTGTGGTTTAGTGTGTCAAGAGTGGTGATGGAAACATCGTAAGCCACTTACGACCTGGATTTGGGTCCCTAACCCCGTCGTAAGTCGGGGTCTAGCTGTGTATATATATATATATATATATATATATATATATATATATATATATATATATATATATATATATATATATATATATATATATATATATATATATATATATATATATATATATATATCTTGATAAAATCACACGGGGAAAAGGGAAACAACGGAGCACCTTAGCTTTCGTCTTTATTCAAGACATTTTTAGAGGCAACTGGATTACATGGACAGAGAGAGGCTTAAATATACAGGGTGACCTTAAGAACATGAGGTTAGGGCATAATGATGTCATCCACTAATCCCCACACCAACACACACGTAGAGGAGCTTAACAGAAGGGGGGTGACGTGACAAGTCACGAGAGCTGAAAGTGTGTTTTGAGTCGGTGAATCAATAGTCTTAATAGAGTATTGTATAAATTGGTACTTTGTTACAGGACTTTCTACAAAGTATATAGAGGAGATTATAGACTTCTCCCTCAGCTTTGGATGTTAAAAAATGTTTATATCAATTTAGTTGCCATTTTGATTATACAGTAATAAGTTTTAATGGCTTTAACTAACTTTTCAGTAAGTGCCACACTACCTCCAGAATCCTTCCAGGGCATCCCAAGCAACCCTCAAACTACATCTCAGCCCCAGCCAGTCCAGTAACTGCTGCCAACCAAATCATTGACTGGAAGTTAGGAAGTAAAGCCTCTCCGATTTTTTCACCATTGGCATAACTTCCAGTCCATTGTTTTTACATATAGTTTATAAGAATAGAACCATGCTGTTTAACTTCAGAGATCTGGCACTGTTGTATTCTGAATGCTAAGAACATTATGCCATTGGTGTTAAGTACAGTAATGTTGACTTATCACTTCACAGTGTAACATTAGCCACAGTACGTGGTGAGATATAGTAGAAATATAAAAAGTTGAGAAAAATACCCAAGAATGAAGAATGCAAAAAAATTTAGAGTTAGGGCTGTTAAGGAGATATATTTAATGAACTTAAAAGAAACTATTTAAAGAACTTCCTTTTAGATATTCATCCCCCTTCATATGCCTAATGCACATACTGTACTGTACTCTGTCTTTTTGTAACTTTAGCTACAGTAGTTGCTCAAAGTAGAACGGAAAAAACCCTAAAATTTGCACCAGAAGTATGATTGGTTAGGTTATATTAGTGAAGGAAGTATGTAAAAAGTTAGTACTTTGACACCTGCTAATGGAGATCTGCAAGATGTTTATTCATATGTTATCATGGTAATGGTATTGTATTACCTTTTATAAACCACCATAATTTACCATCTTGTTTACTTAAATGTAAATTGTCAAGATGCCATTATTAATTACTGGTAAATTAAGAACTGCTGTACTGTAGTGTACAGAGATTTGAGGTGATGTTTTACCATTATTGATGCTTTTGGCTGGTAATGCTTCATTTTGTAAATAAAACTTTACCGATAATTTTTAGTAAATTATTTTTTAATAAGGACTCTTCATTATAGCAGACAGTTATATAGATACATAGTAAGATTATTATTATTGTTAATTGGTCATTACAGCTTACACAAAAGTTTTTATTATTTGTAACTGCTTCAAATTGGACAGGTCATGTAGGCCCAAACTTAATCTTTATAACGAGCCCAGCCATCATGGGCCCCAGTCCTAATGACCCTAGTCTTAATGATCAGGGTCTGTTGGGAATGGAGCTTATCTGAGCACCAATTGCCAAGAATTTTAGAATTCAACACCTGTTCACGCTTACATATTGTCTTGCTGTAGGTTACCATGGAGTTTTGCTTTACACGCTGGCCATCATTGGTCACAGGGATGGCTGTTACCATCAGAGGAAATTTCATGTTACATGCTCTTCATTTTTCCACATTTGGTGGGAAATGGGGAATCCTTAGCTGCTAATGAAAGGTTAAAGATTATGTCCTGAGAGTAGGAACTAGTGAGCTAGAAGATTTTGAACTCCATGATATCCTAAGCATCAGTATTGTTGTGCATCTTGCCTCAGACAGCTGCAGGGTTGTAATGATAAGTGACTAGGGAAAGTATCTTTACCTCAGGACGAAAGTGTTGCGATTCCTTGATAAGTTGTAGACGTGAAATTTTATGAGTTGGTATTTCAGTAACATTTCAACACATTAATGTAGAGTAGCTCATTTTCACTATATATATATATTTTTTTTTTATGGGGGTGCAATGCTTTAGTGCAGAGGTAACACTGTATTGTATTGGCAGTAATTTACCATTTCCATGCCTATTTTTATTTGGTTATTATTGTATAATTTTTTTCGTTTTTGTTATTAAAAGACATTTGCTTTATTCCTGTAGAGCTTTTGGAGGCATTGTAGGTGTACAGTCTGTATATTTATATTAAATTTATTTTCTTGTTGAGTTTTGCAATTTAGCTGTCTGTATAGTACAGTATAATTATCATAAATTCTCTAAAAAGTTACAAAAAATTTATATATTTTACCTCTTAATTTGACACTAGTTCTTATTGTTTTGAAAAGATGCTTGCTATTTTTGTTGGCCATGGAAACACTATCATGTCTTGAAAGAAGTTGAGGGATAGCTTTTTCCTTTGAAGGGTTTTAACCACATTCAGACTGCAGCACCACTTGTTGGTCTACCGCACATTCTCATATGCACATTCAAATGGCATTGGTTACATAACGTTCCCTCCCCCCCTCCCTTTTTTTTTTAGTTTGTCTTCTAGGGCTTTCCTCTTTTTCCCCTTTAGTGTATATGAGGCACTTCAGGTGAGAAGTAGATGAACGATAAAGAAAAAAAATGCCGGCAAACCCAGTTAAAAGGTTTAAAAGGAAAATTTGAAGATTTTATTGGTATAGTATAGACATCTTAAGCTGCTTTGTTCTCTCCCAGAGCATCTCATATTTGAGAAGATGAGACCCATTCTTTTCCTTAACTAACAAGTAGAACTTCACTTGTATCATAGTCTAACCAGCATGCAGGATTTTTTCAACAAGTGTCTTCAGTATTGGTGTACTTTAGGTCTTTTAAAGCATGCAGATGATGTAAAGGGAAGATGCTGTATGTTGTGTTACCATACAGTGAATGTGTGAGTGATGAAGTGTGTCACATAAAGTCTCCTCCACTTTTCTCTTGAAGGATTTTAGATTGTTGTTGGGTCTTTGTTTCCAATTTCCTTGTTTGGATTTATTGTTTTGATACATTGTAGTGCAACTATTTAGATGTAAATGTCTACAGTATAAAGTGCTTTATTATTCTTTCATACCTAATTGTATGCAAATATGAAACAACTTGTTTAATATATTGTATAATACAATGGTGTCCCATTTTCATTACCCATTTGAAATGTAAATGATAAAGGTAAGATAATGTCCTTTCAGAGTTAGGAGATAGTGTTGAAAATGGATTCTTATTGTACCCTGAAAAATTCAGGATATTACAAACTCATGAAATCTTTTGCATGTTTACAAAGTGTCTTTATTGTGTATGACCCTGCATGGTGGCATTGCCATGTGCCTTTTCCTTTTTTGTCTCCTACAGAATGTTTGATGCTGTTTTTGACATACAGTAAACCCTTGCTATTCGCGAGGGTTAGGTTCCAAGGAAGGGCGCAAATTGGCAAAACCGTGAATGTCAACTTATATACTACCTTAGTGCACTACTGTATACCTACACTGTGGACAAGAACTTCCTGTAAGTCACCAATACTACTTACATTTGTATGTGGAAGCTTGGGGGCTTGATGAAGTGATGCACTGTACATAGGGAGACATCTGGTTACTAAAGCATAGGGAGATCATCAGGATCACTGTTGGAAGATGGTGATGCAGTGGTAATTGGTGGAGAGGCGTGTGACTTGGAGGTGGCGAGTGGCTGGGAGGAGAAGGATGGAGCGGTAGTGGCTCGTTCTTTCTTGAAAAACATTGTGATTGGTGGTTGTTTCCTCTTGGCTTTGAGGTCTTTAAACACTTGGTGGTAGGGAAACAATACCTGGCTGTTTCCTCGGACCATCTTAAGGCTGCGTTCCACGTAAGGGTCCTGGTCAACATTGAAATTAGTTACCACCTTCACATGTCGAAATAGTTCACCAAAATTGTCCAAGCCCCAATCCTCTTCTGTCAGTTTCTCTCTATGCCCATCAATCGGCTCTTCCATGTCCACAATCCCCTCACTACCCAATTGATGTGCAACACTCACAATGTCATTCACATCCTTTACTTTGGACAGAAATCCCTGAAAGTTATTCACACACTCGGGCCATAAGGTGAGCCAACAAGCATTCACTGTCTCTGGTTCATTGAATGCTTCACTGATGGTGTTAATACAGTCTGCAATGCTGTACGTCTTCCAACACTTGCTAACATCAGGGTCTGTGTCCATGGCCCCCTGGATACGACCAAAAGAGCGTCGGGTGTAATGTGCCTTGAAGGAGTGTACTGTATTACACCCTGATTGAGAGGCTGAATAAGAGCTGTGGTGTTAGGGGGTAGGAACACCATGTCTATGCCTGGATGGCTAAACTGTAAACATTCTGGGTGGCCTGGTGCAATGTCAATCAATAATAACAACTTGAATTCCATCTTCTTGGAAGCAAGGTATTGTTCCATTTCTGGTATGAAGCATTTATGGAACCAATCCAGGAATGCTTGCACAGTTACCCATACCTTTTTGTTGGACTGGTAAAAGATTCTTGTTTTTTCCCGTTTAAAGCCCTAGGGTTTGCTGAGTGGTAAAGCAAGCCAGGTTTGATCATGTGACCAGCTGCACTGCCACAGAAGATGAGTGTCACTGCCCTCGGCTGCCTTGAACCCAGAGGCATGCCTCTCCTGCTTGTTTATTTACATTCTACCAGGTATTTTCTTTCAATATAGACTAGATTCATCAGCATTAAACATTTGCTCTGGTCTATAGCCTTTCTCTTCTAGTATTTTCTTTAACTTGGTGGAAAATGCATCTGTGGCAGTGTGGTCAGCTGATGCAGCTTCCCCAGTAAGCTTCAGGTTATGGAGAGAGAATCTTCTCTTAAAATTCTCGAACCAACCTTCACTGGCACTAAAAGTTGGTTCAGTAGCCTCACTAGCCCCTTCACCACCTGTTGACTAGTAAAAATGGGTATAAAGACTTAGCTTTCACACGAATCGCTTTGCTGTTGATCGGAACAGTTTTGCGGTGCTGGTCCTCGATCCAAATGTTCAATGATTTTCTGTTTTCACTATGTTCTTGTCATGAACAACTTGCGCCACTTTAGCACTTGCAGGAGCACTGAACAAATTCACGAATTCTTTGTTTATACTTTTTTATTTACCGCACTGTTGATTCGTTCAGACCAAACAACCGACCAACCGTGACAGCACTCGTCCCCTTCTTTAACTTGTCTAATAATTCAACTTACTTTGTCAGGGTCATCACTGACTTATGCCTTTTATGTTTCACTCCACTAGCATCACTAGTACTTGACACTGGGCAGTCTTTTAGGGGCCATTTTCACAAAGAAATATTAAAGTTTTGAGAGTACAACACGAGGTGCTGGATCACAGGCACTGGGTGAGCGCGAACAGAGGGAGATGAGACGCCGGGGTCACGTGGGGTAACTCGTTGCGCTGCGGGAAAAGGCTCGCAAGCTAGCCACCATCGAAATCGCGAATTGCAAACCTGCGAATGGCAAGGGTCTACTGTACTGTATCTATTCCAGACAACATCCACTCTTATTGAACTCTCCAGCTTCTGCAATATGAGAGGCAGGAAGACATCAGTGGCATTGTCTGTAAAAGTTCTTATGCCACTAGTTAGTAGGTGCACCACAGCAGCACCATTCAACACCTACACATCAAAAGAGCTTGGTAATTCTGTCTCAGTTGGTTGCTTAAGAGAAGTAAGTTGCTCAGGGGCAGCTTCTAGAACTTCTACTTCCTTTGGTAGTTCTGTTTCATTCAGTTGCAGTCTGGAGAAAGGGTTAATGTCAGTCTTCAAACCCATGATCTTGTCTGATTGCTTACTTTTAATGTTTGGGACAGGACACCAGAACAGTCGGAGGGAGTTCTTCTCTGTCATAATGAACAGGTCTCTCACAGTCAATAAGGACTGACTAGTGGTACTTCTTTTACTTTTTTTTGCCAAGGTCCTCGACAGTGCGGACTGTGTTCACCACAAACTCGTTGAGGACATGGTGAGAGTCCAAAGTCAGCAGCTCTAGTTTCATCCAAAAATGGATTGCCCATTTCACTGCTGGGGGGGCCTTGTATTTTATTTACCTGATGATTTAATTTACTTACATATACTGTATTTTGTCATTCTATTTCTTTTTTTGTCTTAAACTAAGTGGTTTTAATGTATATAAGGACTTACGCTATGATATAGTGGGATTTTAAACATTGTTCTGTAAGTATGGGATGCATATAGCTTGTGTTCTGACTTAAGAACGTCCTATGCATGCCTTTTGGACTACTTAGTAGCCCGATTACGTTTTCTAGGTTGATGACAAGTATCTTTTGTTCCATATTAAGCTCTGAAGTCCCAGTGTACCTGGATGACATAACTGTCATGTCTCCGGACATGTGCTCACACCTCGTGAGACTGGAATATGTGTTAGCTAAATACAAGATGCTAATTTAAAGTAAACTTTGTCAAACTAAGTTTTTATAACCTAGAATACAATATTTAGGGCATGTGGTTGACCAAGACGGAGTTAGTGTTGATGCTAGCAAAGCTGAGGCCATCCGTAAATATCCTATGCCTAAGTCTGCAGATGATGTACACTCTTTCATTGGTATGGTGGGTGTTTATTGTTCCTTTATACAGGGATTTTCAAAAATAGCTATTCCTTTAACTGATTTCTTAAGAAAGATGTACCTTTCAAGTGGGAAGAACAGCAACATTGTGCTTTTGTTGAATTGAAAGACCGCCTTACTAGAGCGCCCATCCTTTGTTTTCCAGACTTTTCAAAACCTTTTGTGATAACAACAGATGCCAGCTACAGTGGGTTAGGGGCAGTGTTAACACAAGAGAGTAAAGGTAAGCAACTTCCAATAGCGTATGCTGGTGCATATGTATATATATACAGTTAATGCGCGTTAACGTCCGACTGAACAACGTCCGATCGCATATACGTCTGTGGCGGCCCCCCCCCCAAAAAAAAATCCGTGGTGCCTGCTGTACCACCACTCCACGACCCCCTGACGGAGACACGATGATCCTCCCCATACTGGTCAGATATTATGTGTTAAAGGAATAAGCTTCCTATCTTAGGCTATTTTTAAACATTTGCCTCCAAGTGTAATGTTAACCTACATCTATTGAGGATAAAATCTTTCACCTACAAATTGACAATAACACATTTGCTGTAATCAGACATATCTAGTTGCCTCAACAATTGCAACCCCAGTTGCAATTGGGGTTACAATTTCAAATTCTGTGGCATTACTAAGTATAGTGAAGTCTCTGGTGAGAGAAAACGGACTCGTATGACGGGGGACCAAATAAAAAAAGCATAGCTACATGTTTTGTGGACTACAGTATTAAGCGTACCCTTTTCATCACTTTGTAATAAACCTAGCCATGCCTATGTGTGTTTATGATATTTACCATAACATTATATATACTGTATATTTAGTGGGTATAAATGGTCGTAAAATGGGAAACTTGGGGTTGGGTCTTGGGTGCCTGGAAGCAATTAGAATAAATCCCATAGGTTCTGTACTTTCGTTATCGGCGGGGTCCCAATTAGGTGCGATAACCAAGGGATGACTGTACTGTATATACTTGTGACACTGGCCAGTTGCTTCTGGTGTTATGGTACAGGGGTACCAAGTGACAGCACTAGGATCCCGCTTCCTCTATCAAGGAATAAACAATTAAAATTTAAATTGGAAAAAAAAAATTCAAATAATGGGACCTAGCGAACCTAAATGGCCCTAGAGCGGCCACAGTCACGTATGCATCGCATATTCTTATAGATTGTGCTGCCAGGCGTACGTTATCTAGTGAATTTAGTCAATACAGTATTGTACAGTAACAATGGACCTAAGTGCAAACCTGTATTGTACATGTACTAAATGATTGCGGTACTAAAATTGTTGTGTCTATTGCAAATATAGCTTGTTTATGCAGGTATTCAAATAAATTACTATCTTACAAGAATCCCTCCAATGTAAGTTATATTCACCCAGGTCGTTTGGGTGGCAAACTATGAGAAGAGCTTAGTCACTCTTAAGTAATGATAAATAAACACGCAGACAGGCCTTCAGCACCAGCTGTCAAATCTTATCTCAAATAAATAAACAAACAAACACCAGACATTCTGTCACCTCACGCCCCCTC